AAAATAGTTCCAGAAAATTCTTTCAGAACGACTGTTTTTATGATGACACGTGTCGTCACAAAAAAGGGTTCCAGAAAATTCTATCAAATACGACTATTCTTTGCGATGACTTGTTTAATAATGTTGTCACAAATAAGTGGGAATTTAATTTTTCTCAAAAAAAAGGACGGAAACTTTGGCAGTTTTCTTCAAATTATTTGCAACGACATCTTAACAAAGTCTTCGCAAAAAATTAGCGCGGGTCTATTCCTCAAGAATATTCTCAAAAATATTAATGAGGTGAAGAAGAACGACATCATTTTTCTTACAATTGTGACGACAATTTAATATTTTTTGCGATGACATATTGTCGTCGCAAAAACTAGCTTGTATAAACACGATCCCAGATCGGTTTCCTCCATTTTTTCCGGCGTCTCTCTCCATTTTCTTCCTTCCTCTCCATCCAAAACCGCCACATACCATCCAAAACCTATGAAAAAAGCTTAAATACTTCATTCTCTCTTCAAATCCTTCATTTATGGCAAAAAATATTACGAAAAAGTCTGAAAAAGCGGAGTTCTTCCTCGTCGTCGCCGCCTCTTAATCCGGTCGTCGCCGCTCCTTATTCCGGCCGCCGTCGCCATCCCATTTTGCTGTCTTACCGTTCTCCAACCACTAGTGTTTGTGGGTTTGGATTTTGTGAGTTAATATTTTGGTATTTTATTAATTGATTTTTGTATTTTTGTTATGGTTTGTGGTTTTGTTTTAGATTTTAGATTTAGTTTGTGGTTTTAGATTTAGAATTATGAATAGTAAATTAGAATTGAAATATGTGGTATTTAGATTGAAATTTATTTAATGATGATTAAAAAATAGACGACCTATGAAAATGTAATGGGAAAGAATAATAAATTATATCTTTAATGATTAGAAAAATTAGATAAAAATTTTAATTAGGATTATATTAATAATTATATAAAGTAATGTTAAATACTTATTATAAAATAATTTGTGTTAATTTTCATAAAATTTGATAAAACTTTATAAATTGTTTGTAGTGGAGATGCCTATGGACAAGAGTTGATACATTTAAGGTATCGGTTATCTGATGAGTACTGGGATAGTTTGTGTGTTTTTATTGAGGTTGGAAAGAATTATGCAAATTCACTGGAGGTATTAGTTATTCGTGTATCAAGTGTAGAAATCATGAGATGCTGCCACCAGAAACAGTGAAAGTGCACATACATCGATAGAGGGAGAAAGAGAAACACAAATCCAGACCTAGTATGCTACTTCTGGATCATTCGCAGCAGGAACAGTTAACGAGCAGGATATTATGGAGCAGTTTCTGGGCACCCGCAAAGGACACAAGACTGGAGTGAGTCGCACACTCCCACAAAAGGTTTATCGACGGGATGCGTTGTCATCTGACTCACGCTCGGTAAGATCTTCTACGACATGTTCGGACCCACAAGTAGAAGAATACTTACAACAGGGTTACCAGCAAAACCTCCAGGTGTACGAGAACATCAGAATGATGCAGGACTTCATCACACAAATGCACCCCAACATGACTTTTCCAGCGGTTACTCCTTCTATGCCGTATGTCCGTCCAGGTCATCTGTCCCTAAATCCTTCTGATGATAACGGCGATGATTCTAGTGATGCTGCTAATTTAGGAGATTAGATTTTTATTAATCTAACAATTTTTATTTCCTCACATTTCTACTATAATTACATTTTTATTTTATTTTATTAATTACTTTTTTACAGTAATAATTTGTATTTCTATTTTTATTATTTATTTCTTTTTATTTAATTCTTTTTTATTATTATAATATCATGAATTATATTTAATATTGGGTTTAAATATATTGTAACATACAACATTAATTAGTAAAATGAGAAAAAATAAATAAATAATTAAAATATTATTTGCGACGACAAATGTGGTCGCAAAAAATATAAGCCACGTCAGCTAAATCTGCATCTTTTGCGACAACTTTATTCGTAAAATATCGTTGCAAAATCTCAATGTCACGTCATCTTAATGATGTAACCGACGAAATAATTACAGCGACTTATTTGCCACAATTGTCGTCGCAAATATAATTACAACAACAGCTTGTCGTCACAAAAATTATTTTTGCGACGAATCAATTGCGGCAACGGTTTTGCGATGACAAGTGATCGCTAAAACTTCATTTACGACGACTTTGAATTTATTGCAACGACTTTTTGTCGCCGCTAATAGTCTTGTTTCTTGTAGTGTTCAGAGCCCAACCAAAAGGTAAACCAAACAAAATACAGAAAGTAACCTACATAAAGGTAAACAAAAACAACCGAAAATAAACGTATCCGTTTCATTCAGAATATTTAATTAAAATTAGCAAAGCTTTTGTATATGGAGGGATCGAGGGCTAGTTCAAATGACTCAAGCTAATTCACACGAGCTTGTACTTGGCCATCTTTTTGTTCTAGACTCGAGAGGGGAAAAAAAAGGAATGTAATTATTTACCACACGCATAATTAGTTCGACTATTATTATTGTACAAAATGACAACATACTACATAATATATAGTTTTTTTTACGTGAAAGCTTTTCAAACTTAATATGTAATTAATATTTATGGCCAGTGCATGAGATTATTGGTCAAGGGGGATCAAAATTTGTGCGTCGACTCTGTTTAAAATTTCATGCATGGCCTATTAACATTCGAAACTAACTTTTCATTTTAGTACGATGTCGAAGAGGTATCAACCTACTTAGGTAGCAAAAAATAAATATTTTTAACCCTACTTTCAAGGCAAAGCGGAAGAATAATACTAAGTGACAGCATTTTTGCCTAATGATTGAGATTGATCGATCATTAAAACATTAAAATAAGTATTAAAAAATAAAATAAAATGAGCCCCCACTCAAAGAATAATGGAAGAAGCCCTCGTTGTTGTGAACTGTAAATATATTTTTTCCTTTTTCTAGATAAATAATTTGCCACATACAATGTGTGTTGTTCATACGTATTATTAATAATTATTGATATAGGCGAATCTAGTATCTATAGCAGTAATTCAATTAATTCTCACCACGTTCACAATATAGAAAGAGCAAAAAGAGATAAGCCATGGGCACCATCAATATATACTCGTATTGTATAGCATATTAGTTTCGTATTAGGAATCAGATACGGCCTGACTTGATAGCATTACGTCTTTTTCTTTCGATATGTATTCTAATGATGGTGGCAATTAAAAGTGGGATTCCGTTCATTCTCAACTATTAATGACAAAAAACAGAGGCTTCTTTGGTTTCGTTAGTTCGAATTATAGTTTAAGTTTTAGGTACGGTGTTTTCTCTCATAAAAATTTAAATTCAACTTTTTTATTATAGTGTTTTTTCATATAAATTCACTTTTTATTTCAAGCTTTTAACTCGAACGAGCAAAACAAACGAGGCTTAAAAAATGCTGCTACCACTGTTAGTCTTGAATTGTGATAATTGTTTCATTTTTATCTCTCAACTTTATAGAAGGAAGAAAGGAGAAAGGGACAAATAATCTTGTTAAAAAAAACTTTTCTAAAGTAAATACGAGGTTTTAAAATATTTGTACCATATAATCCTTTCCTTTTAGAATTATTTACTCTAGTAAATAATTTTTATTTACCAATAAATAAATTATTTACTTTAATAAATAAATTAATATGATTTACTCCAAATAGTTTAAAACGTGCTATTTTCTTTGAATAAATTTCAAATAAAATGTTATTGTAATTTCTGAAGAGGATAAGATTATTTTAGTATCCCGTGTTATACAAAAAAGTATTCTTAGTATCTTGTGTTTTTGATAATATTAAAACGGTACTTTAATGTTTGTAAAAACATTTTCTTTATACTCTGAAGCTAATTTTTTAGACGTAAAATAACTTATTACCCTTTTATTTAATTAACCAAATACTAATAAATTTAGAAAAAAAAATCATTAACTTTTTTATTTTGCTGTTTTCTTTATAATATTTTAATGTTTTAAAATATTTTTAGATTTTTTTTAAAAAAATATTGATTTCTATTTACAGTGGTAGTTTAAACAATACATATCTCAAAAATTAATTTTTAATAGAAGATATTTTTAAAAAACATCAAGGTACTATTTTAATATTATTAAAAATATGTAATATTAAGAATATGTTTGGTTATAATACAGGGTACAAAATGATTTTATCTGTTTCTGAAGGAAAAACGAAAATGGGATTTCGTATGGACAAGAACATTTTGGCGGGCCGAAGAATATTGAGTAGCCCCACCATAAGCAACAGCCCAAAGAATCGGCCCAAAAGACCCATCATCATCGACTCCCAAAAAATGGCCCAAAGAGGCCCATAATATCACAAGCAACTACTCTCCTTGTGATCTCCGCCAGGTTGTCTACAAAAATCCAAAGTCCTTTCGATCTTTCATCCCATCTGGAAAGTCTACAATAGGTCCATGACCGTGACCTTCACGAACCGGCAAAAATAAACGACTCAGGTTTCAGTTTCACAGCTCCCAACGCAAATTAACGTTAAGTCAGATTGGTATCAGAAACCTGATGGCATCAAACGAGAGGCCCTTTAAACTTTTATACTATATATATATATATATACATACACATAAATTTATATATATGTATATATTTAAAATCAGTATTTACATGCAAAAATGGTCAGGTGCCACATTGATCATCATCACAGTTTCTGAGCGCAAAACAGACATCATTACTGGCCGTTTTCTATGGCCTTCTTGGCGTCATTCATGTTGCCCTTAAGATTCTTTCTTTCGTTTTGGCTATAAATTCATCAAGTTTTCTCTTATCCACTTCACCCCTTGTATCTTCTAAGTTGATCTCTTGCTTTCATCAGTATTAAATTTACTTTGTTTTGGTTTCTGTTTGAAAAGTTTATGAGCTGTGTAATTTTTGTTTTTTGTTTTTTTTTTCTTTTAATTTCCTAGCCGCTGATCAGTTTTCATAATTGGCTGTGTGAGAATGAGGGAAAGGATTCAGGACACTCTCGCTGCTCACCGCAACGAGCTTGTTTCTCTTCTCTCCAGGTTCATTAATATATGTGCACATATAGATATATATATGATAAACATAACATGCATGTATATATATTTGCACGTTTGCATGCATGGCTAATTAATCATCAAACATATTTAGATGATACTACACTATTGCAGATTATTAGCTAAGATATTTGAAAGAAAGTTGTTAAATATGATCCTTAAACTAATGAGATGTTTGGTTCATGGATTAGAACTATGTGATTAGAACTATTTTCGATTTACGTGTATTTTTTGTGAGAAAAATACTGTAACAAACCATGAACCATAATTCAAATCAGGGAACGAATCACTTAACCAAACAACCTCTAAATAATCATTCAAGGGCCGGTAAAGGGCCCCTTGAACCAAAAGACCATGTTTCAAAGCCTAAATATTGCATTTATGGCCATATTATTTGGTTATAATTGATTTTAAAAAAGAAAAACTAACTGTTTGCATGTTATAATGTAAAGTTGAAAATTTGACACACGCTTAAGGTAGTATTGTTCTATTTTATTTTCTTTTCTTTTAAATTCATTGTACTATTTTAAAACGTACTCTCTAAAAAAAAATTGATTATAAGCATATTGTGCTTAATCGGACACTCCTCTATTTTATAGACACATACATAGATATGTAGTGTGACATTTAAATGTTTTAGTACTCTAATTAATGAAGAATTTTGAAAAAATATCGAGTTAATATATTTTTGTTGTTTTGATAGGTATGTTGCTCAAGGAAAAGCGATTCTACAGTCTCATCAACTGATAGACGAGCTAAACATCATCGTTAAAGAGGATGAAGGATTGCAAAAGCTCAAGAATAGCCCTTTCAACAAAGTTCTCCAATCTGCACAAGTATTTGCACATCATTATTAATGTGCAATTATGAGATATTGTAAAATGACTAGTAAAATTTTATCCCTGATTACCCTAAAACATTAACCTGTGTAATTAAACTCTAATTTTATTTCCATAAATATACATTCCCATGTCTTGTTTAGTCAATGTGGGATTTTTGTTCGCACATTCCTTATACATAAATTATTTTCTTTTGATTTACCAATATGAACCATTTTTACTAAAAGTCGCTTATTCATTAATTAATTTGCTAATATAAACCAGCAATTCACTCAACAAACTATGTAAGCCATTGATTCGCTTTAATAAATTCTTCATGAAGACATCAAACTAAAGAAGAAAAAAACTGTGCGTGGAATTTTTGTAAAAAGAAGTGGACACACATCACAATTATCTTCTCATATATCATTATTCATTGCATGCATCAATAATGTTTAATTTCTATTTTTTCTTACTTAATCAATTACCATAGAAATTGCAAGAGAGTCATGCATGCATGCACTAATTCATCTTCATCATCATCATCATCATCATCATCATCATTATTATTCTTGTTGTTGTTATCCCTAAAATTTCTTTTTTTATCATTAATTTGTGATCATAATATTAGGAAGCCATTGTCCTACCTCCTTTTGTGTGCATTGCAATCCGTCCAAGACCTGGTGTTTGGGAATACGTCCGTGTGAATGTCTATGAACTCAGTGTGGACCATTTGAGTGTTGCTGAATATCTCCAATTCAGAGAAGAGCTTGTGGAAGGACAGTAAGTCCTTTAATTTGTCTTATATGTATCAATTTTCATTCACATAAATTATTGGTTACTAAATTTCTAAAAAAAAAAAATTAATATTTTTTTTTTATTTTAATCAACAATTATAGTACTAAAAGATGGCTTTTGGCTATGAAATATATGATGTTCTAGGAGCAATGGAAGTTATGTCCTTGAACTTGATTTTGAGCCATTCAATGCAACATTCCCAAGGCCTACAAGGTCTTCATCCATTGGAAATGGAGTTCAGTTCCTTAACCGACACCTTTCTTCAATAATGTTTCGGAACAAAGAAAGTTTGATGCCTTTACTTGATTTTCTTCGTGCACATAAGCATGACGGCCAAGTAAGTAACATTATCAATGCCATAGCTCTATTCAACTTAAGATTCGTTTTTTTTTTTTTTTTTTTTTTTTGCATTCATAAGTCAAAAGGGTATTTGAAACTTTCATGTGGAATATATTATATCTTCTTTAGGCAATGATGATAAATGATCGGATTCAAACAATACCAAAACTTCAATCTGCTCTTGTGAGGGTAGAGGAATACCTCTCTAAACTCCCACCAACATCACCATATTCTGAGTTCGAATTTGAGTAAGTAAACTATATCAGCTTCTACTTTAGGCCGACTTTTTACTTGGGTTTGTTTTATTTTTTCAGTTTGTAAACTTTTGATCTCCCTTTGCTTAGGCTACAAGGAATGGGGTTTGAGAGAGGTTGGGGTGACTCGGCTCAAAGAGTGTCAGAGATGGTTCATCTTCTGTTGGAGATTCTTCAAGCTCCTGATCCTTCTACTTTGGAAACATTTCTTGGGAGAATCCCCATGGTTTTCAATGTTGTAATTGTGTCCCCACATGGCTACTTTGGCCAAGCAAATGTCCTTGGTTTGCCTGACACCGGTGGACAGGTACTATAAACTTTGCAAAATTTGCTAATACTCACTGCTGTTTATCGCCATTAATCTTTTAACCAGTTACAGATTGACATATAAATTGTATGGGTCCCTATATCGTGTTAAGAATAAAATACATGAGTCATATATCGTCTAAATACGAACATAATCACAGCTATATAAGAATATTAGGTCACCCTACTTAAACAAAAACCTTTTAAGATTGAAGCTCAATACCTTATAAAGTGCAATTCTTCTTCCTCACTTTTCTACTCATGTTGATATGTGAATCTGTGATATCGGTTAAGAGATGGGACGGCCGTCAGTGCATGGTGACAAATAGCGTTGTACTTAACTTTAACTTTATATGGTCACAAATTGGATTTAGAAAATGGAAATGCAGATTAATTTCATCTTTTTTTTTTTTTTGGCTTCTTCAAGCCAACCTTAATTCACTTGGTTCCTCTCTTATATACTTTCTGGTGTGAATACAATATTTACAGAGTTTATTTCTTCTTTATTGCGCAGGTTGTTTATATACTTGATCAAGTGCGTGCCATGGAAAATGAAATGCTTCTTAGAATACAAAAACAAGGACTGGATGTTATTCCAAAAATTCTTATTGTAAGACACTCAATTTGGTCCTTTGGATTCCATTACGTATAACAAGATTTTGTTAACTAATACTTCATTTACTTGCATATAAATTTTGGTTTTAAGGTTACTAGACTCATACCCGATGCAAAAGGGACAACCTGCAACCAAAGATTGGAAAGAATCAGTGGAACAGAACACACTTCGATTTTGCGGATTCCTTTTAGGACTGAGAATGGGATTCTGAAGAAATGGATTTCGAGGTTCGATGTCTGGCCTTACTTGGAAACATTTGCAGAGGTAAATAGCTGAAGAAAAATTTTTACATGTCATTTTATTTGTTAACTGTATCTTCTTCTCTCTATACTTCACAGTCAAATTGTGGTTGAAGTATTTTTCATGAAGAAGATTTTACTTGTGCTTGATGACTTATAGGCATATTGGAAATGCTTCTTAGTTTTGGTTCTTATAGCTTGATTAAAAAATTAAGTGCAATGTGAACTAAGGAAAAAAAAAAGAGGAAAATGAAACTCAGACTGCTATAATGATCCACAAGCTAATGCTTCAAATAGTGCTGGAGAATAGAATTATGTGGTTTTTATTAGAACAGAAGGATTAAAAATTTGAATGTTTGAAGTGTGATTAAGTGTCTTTACCAAAGTTTTGTCATTCATATTAGGACTACATTCTTACCTCTTTTTTCTGTCATTTCTGTGGCTTCTTACCTCTTTTTTCTGTCATTTCTGTGGCTATCTCAGGATGCCTCAAACGAAATCGCAGCCGAGCTGCAGGGTGTTCCAGATCTTATCATTGGAAACTATAGCGACGGAAATCTTGTTGCAACTTTGCTATCTTACAAACTAGGAATTACACAGGTTTTGTACTGATAATTCCTTATCGATTTTCCAAGGCAAAATTCAATTAATCATTGAATCAACCGAGTTAAAATACATTTACTAGTTTTAGTTCACTAAATTGAACTTTTTTTTTCCTCCAGTGTAATATTGCTCATGCATTGGAGAAAACAAAATATCCAGATTCAGATATATATTGGAAAAAGCATGAGGAAAAGTACCATTTCTCAAGTCAATTTACTGCTGATCTTATTTCAATGAACAATGCCGATTTTATCATCACCAGTACATACCAAGAGATTGCTGGAAGGTAAAACACCTCTTAAAAATTTTGGACACCTTCAAAAACCGTCCATGAAAATATTTTTTTTTATCTTTACGTTTTAAATCAATTATCGATAATTTACCTAATTTTGTAAAGAAGTTTTTAAAGAATAGATTGGTGAGATAAAGAAAAATGTTTACTGAAGTAAAGGGGTCAAAATTTTGCTGCTGTTTACGCAAATACCACATTGTTAATGTTTTTTTTTTTTTTTTCTTTTTCTTTTTAATCTTTGGCTCAGCCATAACAATGTCGGACAGTATGAGAGCCACACAGCTTTCACTCTTCCTGGCCTCTACCGTGTTGTTCACGGGATCGATGTTTTCGATCCCAAGTTCAACATTGTATCTCCGGGTGCAGACATGGCAATATACTTTCCATACTTTGAAAAGGAAAAGAGACTCACTGCTCTGCATGGTTCCATAGAAGAACTCTTATATGGTACTGAGCAAACTGATGAGCATGTGTAAGTATACACCTAAAAGAATATTTATACCTAAGAAGTACTATAACTATGTAGATAGTAAATTTTCCTTTTAACAATCCTTAATTATAGAACTTTTGTTAATCACGATGCAGTGGTTTCTTAAGTGATCAATCAAAGCCTATCATCTTTTCCATGGCGAGGCTCGACAGAGTGAAGAACTTGACTGGTCTCGTCGAGTGCTATGGCAAGAGCGAGAAGCTGAGAGAGCTGGTGAATCTTGTTGTGGTTGGTGGACACATTGACGTGAAGAAGTCCAGAGACAGAGAAGAAGTTCAGGAGATAGAAAAGATGCATGGCCTCATTGAGAAATACAACTTGAAAGGCCAATTCCGGTGGATAACTGCGCAAATGAATCGCGCTCGAAACGGGGAACTTTATCGTTACATTGCAGACACCAGAGGAGCCTTTGTGCAGGTATATATGGATATCTTCTGCCTAATTTTGGTATCTTATATAACAAATTTGACAAACAAAAAATAAGACACTCAAATTTGAGCCGTGGCTTAGCTCTTGCTGCTAAACTAATTAAGAGGAAAATTGTGATAAATTTTCATTCTAGACTTTTTAAAAATTGTCCCTAAATTTGAGGAAGCACCTAATTTAGTACATCAGTGATTTTCTTGAAAAAGTAGGCATTAAAAAAGCTTAGGAACAATTACCCTTTTTGAAAGGGGGACCAAAACTTCGGTCATTTATGCAAATGCCCGAATTAAAACTCTCTTTTTTTCTAACATTCTCATTTGAACATACAAAATGCAGCCTGCCTTCTATGAAGCTTTTGGTCTCACTGTGGTGGAATCCATGACTTGTGGCCTTCCCACATTTGCAACGTGCAATGGCGGTCCTGCTGAGATCATTGAGCACGGTATTTCCGGGTTCCACATTGATCCTTATCATCCTGATCAAATGGCTGAGCTTTTGATTGATTTCTTTGAAAAATGCCACAAAGAACCTGCCCATTGGGACAATATCTCTGGCGGAGGTCTTAGAAGAATCTATGAAAGGTCATATTTTTAATTAGTATAGACAATATCAATATGAAAGAAATCTATTTCTGTATCTCAGTTGATCTGAAATTTCTAAGGTGTGTTATATATATGCAAATATATACATATATGCAAATATATACATATATGATATATTCAGGTACACTTGGAAGATATATTCTGAGAGGCTTCTCACACTGGCTGGGGTTTATGGGTTTTGGAAGTATGTGTCTAAGCTTGAAAGGAGAGAGACAAGGCGATACTTGGAAATGTTTTATATTCTCAAGTTCAGAGATCTGGTTAGTAATTATGTTTTTTTTTTTTTTTTTTTTTTTTTTTTTTTTTTTTGCCTAATCGGTTAGTAATTACGTTTAGTAATATTACAATTTCTTTGGTGAATAGAGAAGAATAATATGCTTGGAATCCTAACTTTCTTTTTTCCAACTTTATAATACTAATTAACATGACAAGTGAATTGTCATTTTTTTTATACATCAGTGTAAATGTTTAAAAAGTTATCACGTCAATTAGTATTAAAAAGTTAGCTCTACTTATTATCTCCCAGTAAGAGGCGGTATTAAAAGGTTGGGATAAAAGTCGGGACTTGTAACAATACTCTCGAAGAAATTTTATGTGATTAACTGGTTTTCTTTTTTTTTTTTTATTGTCTTTCAGGTGAAGAACATTCCATTGGCAGCGGATGAGCAGCACTGAGCTCTTTACATGCCGAGAAAAAAAGCTAGCAGTCTTCTTTGTTTCTGTAGTCTAAATTTGTGTACGGAAAAAACTATGTTGTGTGTTTGTTTCCATTTTGCTAGAACTATGCTGTGTCTCTTCCTTTGTTTGTTTGTTTCAATAATAATCGCCGGGTTGAACTGAATTTCGCTTTACTTTGACCTATAATGCTCATGTGCTCAGTACGTTTATTTTATATACTCAAATTTAAATAATTAATTTTATTATTATATTTTTTTTTATAAAAAATTTAAATTTTAAACGTTATCATAATTTGAGTATATTTTTAAATAGGCTTTATGTATAATTTGTTGTGCCCAGATACAGGATTAGTTGAATTTTGCTTTGATGTTTCAGTTTTTATTTTTTATTTTGTTATTTTTTTTGTTAAAATAAAGGAAAGAAAAGTATTAGGACTACGGAATTTCTTTTAGTACTTTGACATGTTGAAAATATTTTGCCGTTTCTGATCTATTGTCCTCTTCCTCTGCTGTCACAGTGTCACTTACCAAATATTTGTCGTTTTTCGTTCCATGTTATCCTTTCTACTATGTGAGGACGTCTTCATGCTGTTATCGTTACTTGTCATTGTCATTGGTCGTTTTTTAAGTTATGACGTCACTTATCAAATACTTGTCGTTTTTGTTCCACGTTGTCGTTTCTACTATTTGAGGTCATCTTCGTGTCATTGTTGTTAGGACTTTTGTTAGTTGGATTTGTTGGCATTGGTTGTAAAAAGTTCAAAAATAGGTACTCTTAAGCAGTTCACCTTTACAGAGATCAAAGGTGATTTTAATTGTTTGATTGTTCTGAATATAGAATGGATTGCTGATTAAATCTAAATATGGAATGTTTTGTTGATTTCTAGAATTTTTGACAATAAAATTTTAGAAAATATTTGGGAAATTTGATGCTATGGTTGACATTGCTATTTATTTGATTGATTCTAAATGAGAAAGAAATGTTGCTGATTGCTTTTTGGTGCTGAGATCATTAACGCAGTAGCTAGGAGACTTTGAAAAGTGGGATGGCTGAACGTAATGTTGTACTGAGGAGAATTGAATGTGAAAAGGTTGGCCTTTTGTATTGAGAGATAACACTTTCAGATAGTGAGGGTTGTGCTTATGATTCTATGTGTTTTGAGGGAAGCTTTTTGGGAAAAAGTCTTTGTATCTGAACTTTTGATTTGTGAGTGCAAAAGTGTTCATCAAGAGGAGAACATATTGCTTTTGAGAGATGAGTAGTGTCACTAGACAAGATCTATAAGAAGATTTTTTACAACAGTGACATTGTAAAGTATGGAGTCTTTTAGTGTATAAGACCGTGGAGTGTTTGTAATCATTTCATCTTAATAAATTGTTCATTATCTGATCATGACCCTACAAATATAGGTGTGCATACTAAACTGTGATACAATTTTCTGTTGTTCCTTCCTTACTGGATTATTTTTTCGAGCTTGATTAGATATTCATTGCTGAATCTAAAATTCAATTTATCACAGGATAACACTTTTTGTGACACCTGTCAAAAAAACACACCTTTCAGTTGTCGTTTCTTGTCAATGTCCTCGGTCGTTTAGAGCTAATTGCCATTGTATAACAATGTCCTCGGTCGTTTAGAGTTATTGCCATTGTATATAGATATATAGATATATAGTCTACTGTTGTCATTTTCAAAGATATCGTCGTATTTTTTCAGAATATAGTATGGGTATCGAAGATGATGCATATGCGATTGTTTTCAAACCACTATCTGTAGGATTTGTTCTCGTTTTATGACTTCCGGTGGGTTGAAAAAGTGTTATTCGTTTGTAACGAATAATATCGTTCTTGGATGCATTCCTTTTTAAATATATGACGTTGTCGTTCATTGTATACGTTGGAGCCAGTTTTTTTTTTTTTTTTCATTAAGTATTTTTCGTTGTAACAAACCATTTTTCTTTTCCTAAATTAATTGTCGTTTATTCATTATTGTACATTTTTCTCCATCAGAACTTGGAAAATGTTTTCTAATTCATTGTCGTTTATTGCATAACCCCGAGTAAGTGTTTGCCTTTCTCATCGAATATCATTGCCGTTTGTAAGAAGTACTGTTGTTTGAAAGGATACTTTCGGTCGATAAGTTACTTTTCGTTTATTATTGTTTTTATTTTACCTTTATTGGATATGATGTCGTTCTCTTGAATAGTGTTTTAAGTTTATTGTCGTTTTTATAATATTCACCGTTTACACAAACAAGGAACCTTTCAACCCTTTTTTTTTTTAATTGAGACGTTTCAAGCTAATAATTTTCCTTTTAAACTATCTTATCGCCTGTGTTATGTATTGTTTTCCTAAACTAGTCTTCATTTATACTGTAATCATAATTTCTCAAATTTACTGTCGTTTGCAAGATGTCTTGCTGTACTTTTAAGTTGCTGTCGTTTCTAATAACTGTTAGATTTTGTAGTTATTATCTTGTGTAGCAAATATTTTTTAAAATGATGATTTACCGTTTGTTGGTAGTATATATCGTCATTTTCATAGTCTTTGCATTTTGTAGGATTACTTGTTTTTTGAATTTGTTGTTGTTTATTGAACACGTTTTCATCGTTTGAATTCCGACTCGTCGTTACGTTTTCAGTTTCCCGACGTATTGTTTTGTGGATGTATTTTAAATCGTTTCTTTTTATTAGAGTAGTTGTTTAAAGCATATGTCTGTTATGAGTTGTGATAAATAACGTCATTTTTATCTTATCCGTCGTTTTCTACATGTGTCGTTTATTACATTTGATGTTGTTTTCCATATTGGTGTCGTTTTTAGTCTGTGTTACAGATAATTTTATTTTTAATCTTATGTCGTAGGTGTTGTATGTTGTCTGCAAGTTGTAATCGTATGTATGATTGCCGTTTAAATGATGTGTTGTCGTTTTCACTATATTGTCGTTTATTGATATGTCGTCATTTTCAAGACTCAAGAATCGTGATTGTATGTGTATGTTATCGTTTTTGACCTTTTGCAGTTTATTGAATTCTGCTTGCTAAATTGTCTGTTTTGATCCGTGAATAATCAATTTCTCAAAAATCATTTTGCCGTTTCTCCGTGAATTCGGCCAATTAGAGGATCCCAAAAAAAAAAGTAAATAAAATTTTATGATATTTGTTTGAAAAATAAATAGAAAAATTCAGTAATAAACTATGAATATATTATAACACATTTTTTTGAATATATTATAACACAGTTTTTTAATATTTTATTAGTTTTTTACCCTGAAAAAATAATAATTTAGCAGAATTTAATAAAATTAGATTCTCATAATTTAGATAAAAAAATAAATTTTGGTGAAATTTTAAAGGTAATTTATCTTGTCTTTTTACTTTCGTCTTTTTGGTGATTGAAAGTACAATTGGCGGTTCACATCACAACCATACGAGGTTTTCAACGTCCAACGCCTCGTTCCGTCGTGCTTAAATGCCGGGATCATCCCACTCGCTGCCTCCGCAACTGAAATCCACGCGCAATTCCTTTTTGGGAAACGGAAATGGTCCTTATTATCCATTCTTCCAATCTCTCTCTCTCTCCCTCCTCTCTCTGTAGTTTCAGATATTTTCACTCGGAAGAAAAATGGCGAATCGCACATCTGATCTACTCGGCCGAGTCGACCCGGCTCTCCAACTCGATGAGAACGCTTTGCTACGCTACGCCTCCGCCAACGTCGATGGCTTCCCTCTTTCTCCCTCCACTTTCACTATCTCGCAGGTCCTCTCTCTCTCTCTCTCTCTCTCTCTCTCTCTCTAGATTTTGATTCAATGGCTTCTCAATTTCTTCTTTTGGTTTGGCTTTTCGGTGAAATTTCAGTTTGGACATGGACAATCGAACCCTACGTATCTTCTGGAAGCTGGCTCCGGTTCTAGGTCTTCGACCAAGCGATACGTTCTGAGGAAGAAGCCTCCGGGAAAGTTGCTGGACTCTGCTCATGCTGTGGAAAGAGAATTCAAGGTTCAATTTTTTCGCACTTTATATATGTGTGTGTGTGTGTGTGTGTGTGTGTGTGTGTGTGTCAAACAATTTGGTTATGTAGAATTCGAAATGTCTTTAGTTTTGTCAAAATGTTTTAATTTTTGTTTTGTTTTGTTTTTTTCTGTTGTCCAAACAGGTTCTCCAGGCATTGGGGGCTCACACTCAAGTTCCGGTTCCTAAAGTTTTCTGTTTGTGTACGGATTCAAGTGTGATTGGAACTCCTTTTTACATCATGGAGTATTTGGAGGGACGCATATTTATTGACCCCAGACTACCGGTATTGCTTAAAAGCATGTGATTAGTTTAAATGAAATGGAAATTTCTCACACCACCTTTATTGCTCATGTATTGCACTGTAAAAGCACATGATCAATGTAGATCAAATTGGAATTGTTGTTATAGTGCTGAAGTATTCCCTTGAACTTGTTTTGACTATTAAAGATATTCTTTTTGGCTAGAAGATTGGATCAAAATATTGATTTTTTTATATCATGGTGTGTAACGAACTGCCGGTATTCCTTACAGTTTGCGCTGAGAAAACGTATTGATGTAATATCAAATAGGGATTTCTGTTATATTGCTTAAGTATTCCCTTGAACTTGGTTTGTTAATTTTAGCGAAAGGGTTGAATCAAAATATTGACCTTTTATTTCTTTTTTCGGGCAGAGTGTAGCTCCTGAGAGGAGAAGAGAAATATATAGAGCAGTCGCAAAAGTTTTAGCATCCTTACATTGTGTGGATGTTGATGCCATTGGTCTAGGAAAATATGGTCGTCGTCGGGACAATTATTGCAAACGACAGGTGCATAAAATTTTTCAGCAGATTTTAGCTTATAGGACACTTGTTCATTTGTACTTGAGTCTTTCTTAATGAGTCCTTTGGCTGTTTTAGATAGAAAGGTGGGCCAGACAATATATTGCTTCGACTGGTGAGGGTAAGCCTGAGAGCAATCCAAAGATGTTCCAGCTGATCGACTGGTTACGACAAAATATTCCTCCTGAAGATTCTTCAGTGGCCGCAACAGGCTTAGTTCATGGAGATTTTCGCATCGACAATCTTGTTTTCCATCCCGTTGAGGTTTGGTACTTCCCCAAGCCTTTGATTGATACGAAAGTTAAAAGCCTTTAATTGATATGTTGCAGCAGCAGCCTTAGTCTATCAGCCGTTTACCTTGCTAATTTTAGTGCCGGCTTCCTATTTCCAGCAATTGCAATGGCTTTATTTCTTCATGTTCCAAAAATCAGTATACTTCAGATTATGGGGCTAAATCTTATAAAGTTTAAATTCATGCAAATACTGGTGTGCTTTATACATGTTTTTTCCAAATTCAAGTCTTTTGATTTTTACCCCAAGCATCACAAGCAGTCAATATGATTTCTTGACTTCTAGATTTAGTCGCTCAGAATCATGAACTCCAATAATTGGTAAAATATGGTATTTTCTTCATTTTTATCTTTATTTGCACATACAATATTTATTCTTTATTTGACCCTTAATGCCCTAATATGGGTATAGCTAGCACACACACACTAATCCCTGAATAGCTTATCTAAATTGCACACCTCATCCGATACCTTTATAATGCAGGATCGAGTGATTGGCATTCTTGACTGGGAATTATCTACTCTTGGAAACCAAATGTGTGATGTTGCATACAGCTCTTTGGTAAATGTTCAAATTTTAGTCTTTGGACAGGGAATATCTTTAGTTTTTCTTGTTATGTAGAATGAATATGAGACTCTGTATATTTCTAATTTGGTACACTTCTGTTTATGGATACTTTTAACTGTTTTCAATAGCATATTCTGAGTAGGAACCGCCATGAATTCATAAATTATAATTTCCTCATTGATTTTTTCTTTCAAAGAAATTATCTCTGATCATTACTATCCTTCTTTCACAGCATTATGTTGTGGACCTTGCAGTTGACGAAGATCAAATTTCTAAAGGTATAGAACTTACTGGGATTCCACAAGGGATTCCCTCACTGGCTGAATATTTGGCAGAGTACTGCTCTTCAGCTGTAAGTACTCTTGATGATGGCTGTGAATAAATAATGTTTTTTTCCCCATTTTTGCTCATTTGTTCCCAACACTCTTGAAGAAATATAGTTGATCAATCAACATAATAATTTAGTCTCTTTCCAAAAATGAGTTGTAACAGTGTTTGTTGAAGGCATAACCTAATGTGTTTGATTGGAATTTGGGACAGTCTATATGATAAGGCCGTTGAGAGTGTTTATGCCATGTTGAATTCAATTTGATCGCATAGGCTTTAATGTAATAAATGATTGATTATGGAAATAACGGAATGGCAGGAGAGATAGGAAAGATTTTGTTTAATTAATAAAATGACCTTGCTTAGGAGTGAGTTGGTATGTCACAGAGGTAATAATTGTTAAGTAATGGATGTACTCACTTTAAATTTGGAGCTCTGTGTGACATCCAGTGTTCTAATAGACTGTAACCATAGTTTTTTATAATGTTTTTCTTTCCACTAATCTTGTTGAGTGATGAACTTATATGGGGATTGTGGCACGTGCAGCAAAAACTGTGGCCTGCAGCCGTGTGGAAGTTCTATGTTGCCTTTTCTATGTTTCGTGGAGCGTCAATCTTTGCAGGAATATACAGTAGATGGATCATGGTATCTTCTTAAGAGATAATAGTCTCCTGCCATACTATTGCTTCATATATGAAATGATTTGCAGAAAGCTATTAATGGCTTACCATTCAAATGAAGGGTAATGCTTCAGCAGGTGAGCGTGCCCGACATTCAGGGGACAAAGCTAATGCTCTCATAGAGTCTGCATGGGAATTTATTAACCGGGAATATGTGCTTCCTGATAATCCTCCATCAGGTAGTTATACGCTTGTGCTCTTTAGCTGGCTTTGAAATACATTTTCTGCAAACGATTAATTAACTTTTGATGTTTCAGTGATGTTGACTTCAAAGAGTATCTCTATTGTTTCAGGTGCTTTTTCTACACGAGACGAAGCATTTTCAGGAACAGCGAGGTTTGTTCCGAGTAAAAAAGTTTTGGAATTAAGAAACAAGTTGATTAAGTTCATGGAAAACCACATATACCCCATGGAAAATGAGTTCTACAAACTTGCTCAATCTCCTTCACGTTGGACTGTTCATCCAGAGGAAGAGAGACTAAAGGAGCTAGCAAAGAAAGAAGGGCTTTGGAACTTATGGATACCTGTACGTCTCTAAATCCTGCTCCCAAGTAGGACGCTTTGCTATTTATGTTTTTGTATATAACCTTTGAAGTTTACTCTTCTACCGTTGAAGCTACTTCGTGAGTAATTGGGGATAATCTTTTTAATCAAACGTATTTGTCGGGGTCATTTTGTGCCTACATGCAGTTTGATAGTGCAGAAAGGGCAAGAAAATTAATTTTCAATGGAAGCAATTATCCTGCCTCTGATGATACGAGCAATCAGTTACTGGGAGCAGGCCTCTCAAACCTTGAATATGGATACCTCTGTGAGATCATGGGCCGTTCTGTTTGGGCACCACAAATTTTCAATTGCGGTGCACCTGACACAGGAAACATGGAGGTGAGGTGAAATCTTCAGATCATACGCGAATATAATCTTTATGCATGTTCATTGGATCTTGTAACGTTAGGTTAGCTTTTATTTTAGGTATTATTGCGCTATGGGAATAAAGAACAACTACTTGAATGGCTAATTCCTTTGCTTGAGGGGAAAATCCGATCAGGATTTGCAATGACAGAACCAAAAGTTGCGTCTTCCGATGCAACCAATATTGAGTGTTCTATTAGAAGGTAAGATTGTGTAAAATCTTGGAAAAGGGAATATCCACTTTTTGTGGTGCTAGCGTGAGCTTCATCTTAATTTATTATCTGATATCATTGCATTCAACTGGGGACTTTTTAATCAAAATGGATGTTACTCATTTGTTTCGCTTCTTTTACATAGTTTTCCTCCTTTTTCTGGGGCATTTGTTCAATTAAAAGATAAACATAAAACAAACAACAGGAGTCTGGTTGTTTCCTTGAAAAAGACTTAGCATTATGCATCGTTGTCTTGTTACCTGTAGGCATCTCATCTGGATGTTCATAATCATTTTCTAGAAGTCTGTGATAGCAACATATTGATAGCTGATGTGAACATGTGCAGACAAGGAGATTCATATGTCATCAATGGAACAAAATGGTGGACAAGTGGTGCTATGGATCCAAGATGCAGAATTCTTATAGTTATGGTTAGTTCTTGTAGGAATGAGATAACGTCTCTATTTATTATAATTTACTATTTTCCGATCATAAGGAATCCAAATTCCCTGCAGGGAAAGACGGACTTCAATGCTGCTAAACATAAGCAACAATCTATGATCTTAGTGGATATTCAAACTCCTGGTGTACATATAAAGAGACCACTCATGGTTTTTGGTTTTGATGATGCACCTCATGGACATGCAGAAGTAACGTTTGATAATGTGTGTGTTCCTGCAACAAATATTTTGTTGGGAGAAGGGCGAGGATTTGAAATTGCACAGGTATGACTCGGTGTTTCTAAGAAATCTGTACCATTATGAAATTAGTATACTAAATTGGTCTGAATCTCATTAAAGTCGCACATAGTAACTTCATTTTCCAGGAAAGCTCGCTGTATTTTCTACTTTTAAGTTTTTAGAATTGCTTTGTAATTCCTAATTTCCTATGGATTAACTTGGTGTGGCAATTCTTTTCCTTTCATATGTTATTGCCCACCCAAATAAAGTCACACATAGTAACTTCATTTTCTAGGAAAGCGCACTGTATTTTCTACTTTTAAGTTTAAGTTTTTAGAATTGCTTTGTAATTCCTAATTTCCTATGGATTAACTACCTCATGTGATTGAGGACTTTAATTAGCTCCAAAATTCTTATTGTATTTTTCCAATAGATATTGTATATTGGTTTATTAACTTTATATTTATTGTTATTTTCCATAATGCTTAAAACAGACATTTAGTAAACATCGGCAAGGAAAATGCAATTTCTTGGAAAACTTTAGATTACATTAACTGTAGAAATGACTACCATTTTTTATAAGCCTTATTTAAGTAATGAAAAAACTTTCTGTCTCTTTTCTTACATTGTAACAATTTGCAGGAGAAAAAAAATACTCAATCGAAATCTATAGCTAGATGGAAAATAAAAATGTTACTGTCAACTCTAACCTATGGATCTCAGCAGCCAATTCATCTTTTGTGGGACGTACACAATTTCCTTCCTCAAATCTCACCTGACAAAATGATTCAGCATCCCCACAATCTAAATCTTCAATTCATCCTTTGTCTGTATGATTGGATTCAAATCATTTTTTTTTCTTAGTTGAGGAACATAACATATGCCCGAATGCTTAAAACATAACCCATGCTCGAAGGTAATCTGGTGCTATATAACATAACCTATGCTCGTAGGA